CGGCGAATATTCCTTCAACATTTTTATTTCTTTCTCTCTTCCTTTTTAATTCTTTAAATCTTCTTATCGCCCTCTCTCTCCCTCTCTCTCTCTTTCTATCTCTCTGTTAGTCTTTCTTTCTTTAATTCATTAAATCGTGACACGCCGCATAACAATACCCCTTCCTTTCTCCTAACAGAACTAACCCGAAGCGAACGTGTGCCACGAGAAAACTGTTTCTCGTGTCTAGCGAAAATCACGGACGACGGAATCGCACTCAGTCCCCCCGCGCTAATCTTAACAGCTACCACTACTGTTAACGTTGGTGTTACTGCAGGTGCTGCCACCACTACCGTCGGAGCCGCTTTATTGCTACTGTTGCTATAGCTATAATTCTTCCAATTGCTGTTTCTGTTGCCGTTTCTGTTACACACCTACTACCACCATTATCACTATCACAGTTTCTTACTACACCATTATCACCGTTATCACTATCACTGTTATTAACACATCGTTTCACCATATCATCGAACCGCGGATACTAGCAAAACGTTTCGCGTTTATCTCGATTAAATCATTGCTACCACTACTCAATAATACTACTATCTATAACCACCACCACCACCACCACCACTACCACTGTTACCACTGCTACCAGTACCACCACCAGTTCCACCATCACCGTTACCAATACCAACACCACACCACCACCACCAACACTACTACCAGTACTACCACCCGCTATACTACTGTTCTACCTACTACCTGCTAATATTACTAATACTACTAATATTAATATTATTACATTACTACTACTATTACTATGCTCTACTTAACATCAGTGGTTCACACGTCAATGTATTTCTCTCTCTCTCTCTCTCTCTTTCTCTCTCTCTTTTTCTCTCTCTCTCTTTCTCTATCTATCTATCAATCTGTCTATCTGTCTCTCTCTTTCTCTTTTTTCAAATGTCCGTCCTTGAATCTGTCAATTTCAACTTCCGAGTCTACCACGCATTTATGAACGTGTCCATTGCTCTTTTTATTTCTTTTTCTCTATTCGCCATCTTTCTATACTATATGGTGTCTACGCGATTGGTCGATCGATGCGACACCAATCGGCCACGATTACATTATTTCGAGCCTCTTTATATTTCTTATGCAGAGAAGAAATCCGTTATTAATTTAAATATTACAATTTATCTATAATTTTTTTTGTTTATATATATATATATATGTATATATATTTATATATACGTATATGTACATGTAAAAAAAAATTACGATTTACATATTACAATGATTTTTATCTTAAAAATTGATATCATAGAAATGTTAAATTATCGATACTTGATAAAAAATATTCCATTTATTTCGATATTATTTATATCATGTTACGATTACTATATAGATTCTACGTCGTATTATATTAATTCTTTATAAATAATTATCGATTTATATTGTTAAGAAAAATTCTCGTAAAAGATTGTAGATAAATAGTAATATACATACATAGGTAGTTTTATGTAACGTATATATATATATATATATATATATATGTGACTAATCGACGCACACATGTAAAGATATTTTTCATATCATTTTAAAGGAATATCGATAGATGAAATTGTTGTTATCAGTCTTTCTATTATCTTGATGTCAACGAATTCATCGAATTGATAACTAAAAAATAATAATATTACGTTGTTTCTTTACGTTTTGACGTCGTTAGTTAATTGCCGCGAAAACGAAGACGCCATTGATTGAACTGATCCGATTGGCTGTCCCTCTGTCACGTGATTACAAATGGAAATTGTAAATATATAATTAAACGTAAATAATGATTTATCAATGAAACGTCATAATTCGTTTTATTTTAATAATGTAATTAATTGTCGTGAAGAATTTCGTATAATGTCGTGTTATATTTGAATTCTTTTTTTTTTTTTTGTATTTTATTTCATTTATCGCTTGTACCCTTCAATCATGTTACGCACGAATAACACAACGTGGCGCTGGAATCGCTATCGGCTTTTAGCAGACGATAAATATTACATGTTGTCGATGCGTCTGTCAACCAAACATGGCGTCTGCTTCGGTAGGTGCATGAGAGAAATCGTGCCTTAACATTGCGTGTTCTCGTACTAATGCCTAATGTGCTTCGATCGTAGTATCTAATTCTATATTTATGCTTAGAACGAGATATATAAAGAGAGATTTCTTAATCAAGGAAGCTGAAATATCTCGTTAGACTAGCTCGTTGGAAGAACGTTACTGACATTCCTTAGAGAATTACCGTATGTATAAATTGACAGAGAATGATCATCGCCTAGAAAAACATACGATGAGAAAATCTAATTTATCTAATACGTCAAAACGAACGTTCGATAATATGAGATAACGAAATGACGATGTTCTCTCTTCTATTGTCTTTTTCTTTTCTTTTTTTTCTTTCTTTTTTTTCCCCCCTCCCATTTTTTAGACAAAACGTTCGTTTTATCTTTGCTCGCTTCGCTCGATTGCTCATTTGCACTATTAAATTGTTTTTTCTTTCTTTTTTTTTTGTATTTGTTTATTATTATTATTATTTTTTTTTCTTTGGAAAATTTGATCGTGACAATTAGAAAACAAGATTTTTTTTGTGTCGGCTTTTAGGTACCCTTACTGATGGATGACGATACTATAGCCTTCGGGGAGGAGGATGATGCTGTTCATAATGATAAACTCAAGTACGTGTAACTTAATCGTATAATACTTTAATGTCTTTCTTTATAGGGAAATAATATATATATTTATTATTTTCCATTGTAGGCATCCATACGTCACCATATTCCATCTTGCATTTAGAATATCAGCTATAATAGTTTATATGATGTGTCAATTATTTTCAAATAGTTTTATTGCAAGTTTCGTCGTTGTCGTATTACTTTTGTCCATGGACTTTTGGACCGTTAAAAATATAACCGGAAGACTGATGGTTGGACTTAGATGGTGGAATTATATTGATGACAATGGAAAGAGTAATTGGGTATTTGAATCTAAAAAGGTTTGATTGGTTTCTTCAAATTTATTATATATATATATTACTTCTAATCTTTCTTCGTATTTATAGTTTATTCGACTTAGGAATGATTTTCGAATCTTGTATTATCTTAGTTAGTTATAATAGTTCAAGGTTATCTCGTTTAGTTACTTGTACGTCCTTGATACTTTCACGGTATCTTATTAACAATCATTTAACCTTTAAATCAATATTTTAATAAATGTTAATCATACGCGCATATTGATAAGGACATTATTATCAAACGATCCATGCAAATTTCTGTTATGTGCCCTGCATTTCAGGGTCCCCAACAGAACCGTATTAACATAGCAGAGGCACGTATCTTCTGGTTGGCATTGATACTGTGCCCACTTTTGTGGTCAGTATTATTTGTTACAGCATTGTTTCGTTTAAATTTTCAATGGCTATTACTCGTATGTATTGCAATCATTTTAAACGGAGCTAATCTTTATGGATATGTGAAATGTAAAATGGGAAGTAACCAGTATATCTCAACAGCTACCAGTGATTTCTTTAAGAAACAAATCATACAAAATGTTAGTAATTAATATTTAGTGATCTATAAAAAAAAAAAAAAAGGGATGAAAGGTGTTATACGATAAAATGTTAATTTCTTTTTTTTTTCTTTCAAGGTTGCATCTATGATGACGAGAAGCCCACCAACAAATAATCCAAATCAACAGACTAATGTAATATAAGATACTTTTTGTAAGTATGATGATGTATATGATAATTAATAATTCCGTAAATGTGTATTGGATGAATGATGATATATGCTTGTACATAATAATATTAGGTATTAAAATTTAAGTGCTATGTAATAAAATTATTATTTCACAATGAAGAAAAAAAGGTATTTGTTTTAAGTTCCTTCTGTCTCATGCAAAAGACAATACTTTATGACGTTAGTTACTAGTTTATTGATGCCACAAGGCAATACATAATGTACACGGTATTTCTCCTTGTCAACAGACTCTTTCTATTACACAATATTTAATTTGTATAGTTGTTAGTTAGTAACATTGCATTTATCGTATTCACCTCAGCCTGCTGTATTCTTTCTGGCAAGAAGGTATCACAAAATAATTTCCCATTCTTTCAACGATATTTAGTATTTGACTTATTCTGTTCTTTTTTAACTCACATTCTTCTCCGGATTTGCGATCGTAATCATTTGACCAATTCATCTATAAATAGATGAACATGCGACTTGATCTTAGACGTATTACCAAACTCGTTACAATATTGCATGGAGCATTGGTAATCGATCGAATTTTATTAATGTTGTGAAAATTGCTCCGAAGATACGAGTCATAAGTGTTTTCAAGAAGAAGAATACAACAAACCACATATTGCTATACATTTTCGGTTATAAAAAAAAGATAAAAAAAAAAAAAAAAAAAAAAAAAAAAAGAAATGATAAAGATTAATGACAAATACAGACCTAAATTACAACATATACACAAAGAATTTTTTAAAATGATATGAGAGAACTTAAATATGTTATTAGAATTAGTACGTTACAAATACGTGAATATCGTGGACTTTGTGTTTGTAACTTTTGTGAGTACAGATTAATGCTACCAACTTATAGCTAGTAATATGTTTTTACAACAATTTTAACTTCCTTTAACACATTTTGCGTTTAGCCTGGAACTTTGAAACATGAAGTCATCGAGAAACTTGGCAAAATACACTTGGGTAGTATAATTACATGTCATTTTATAGATTAGCAGGTGTCCCACAAAAGTGGCTCCACTTGTTAAATGCACGTGTTTTCTATTCATTCATTTATTCATTTATTTATTTATTTATTTATTTATTTACTCATTTATTTATTTATTTATTTATTTATTTATTTATTTATTTATTTGTCTGATTTTGAAATACTTCAATTAGAACTTGACGGTGCAAGGAACACCAGAAGAGAACAAACTGTTTTATTTAAGTCAATATGTGAATATGTTTCTATCACAACGATCTTTTGAAAATTATTTGTAACGTTTGAAGTCTTTCTCTCTTTTTTTTTCTATAAAGATCATTAGAAGAATTCTGATAAATACAGGGTTGGGGGGGGAGGGTGGGAGAGGGGCGATTTCACTCTTAAAACATAAGAGTGCTATTTCTTTCTTCCTTTTTTTCTTTTTTCTTTTTTTGTATTTTTTTCTTTTTTTTTTGTTCTCTAATTTCTGTAAGCTATCGTCGTGTTTAGACAAGAATAGAATAAAATGATGCGCAGAAATATTGACACTGAACGATAAAGCGGTGGTATGTAACACTGAAGGATGAAATTTTCATATGAAATCGATAAATATATTAGTAATAATAATAATAATAATAATAATAATATATGTATATATATATATTTACAGTCCAACCAGAAGAACTATTAGGATTTTATAAGGATTAAGTCGTTACTAAAAATGAGTGTCGTCGGTTGATAATATTTTTGTCTTTTTAACAATCTTTTTTTTCCTTTTTTTAATGTATAAAAATTGGGAATATAGAAAGCTAAATATCAGTCGGACCGTTTTGTATACGATATAGTCGTTAAATCACATTTTAATGAAATAAGTCAACAACTCACTCCTTTTTATTTTTTATTTTATTTATTTATTTTCTTTTTTTTTTCTGAGTCTTTTTTATATACGCGAATGTAAGAATGTTCGATCTCCCGTTAAATTCGAATAAATTCAAAAAAGATTTTTTATTCATGTATGCATTTAACATGTAATTTTCATTTTATGAAATACCAACTTGAGAATATTATTTGTCTTTTCATTTCTCCTTCAGCATTCACTGATACCTTTATTAATAAAAAAAAAAGGAGCTGCGCTAAATGTTATATTCCAGTCATACAATATGTATAATATTTCTTAGAAAAAGAATATGAGCCAACTTTAGTGAGATCCTTCGATACTAGTTGTACTTCTTGATAATATGAAGTTGCATAAAGTTATTTATCCCCCATTGCTGTAATGTTATTTTCAAATAAGTTGAAATATTCACTTATCCAATGGGAAAACATCATATACATATCTATTTCCAGTACAGTAACATTATCATAAGGTTTTCCATTTATGTTAAATTTGTATTAAAAAAAAAAAAACAAAAAAAAAAAAAAAACTAAAAATAGATATTTGAATGAGAATGAAATTAACAAATGAATCGATTAAAGCTATATACGTTTTCGGATGAAAAAAAAAAACATGACAAATAATAATAATTAATTTACATAATGACACTTTGGAATGAGAACAAAATATTTAAGTACTTTCTTGTAGTACAAATTTTATAGCTGCAAAATTGAGCAGTTCTATCGGAGCTGCTTTCTAGAATATTGAAAATACATTACAAACGTGACTTTTAATTTATCATACGAATGAATCAAAATGACGTTGCAAATAAATATAGAAACTCTTGCGAGTATTATAGTCTATATATATATACTCAGTCTATATGAAGTAAATTTTATTAAAAAAAAGAAAAAAAACAAAAAAACAAAAAAAGAAAAACATTACTTTGTAATGATGTGGGATATATATATATAATTTGTAAAAACATTTCGGGGATCGATTAAAAAGTATCAAAAAATATGTAAAACATCTAAATGGAACCTAAACAAATTAAATATCGTGATATAGGACATGCTCTTTTAAATAAAACAGATTATATTCTGATAGTTTGGAAAATATCCACACATTGTTATGCACATCCACTTCTCTTTTATGATATTTATAATATATATCTATGTATATATATTATTCATCATCTTATGTATATATAATGTTGTTAATGACAAACGGTGCATTTATGTACACTTAGTCACAATTCCTGACCCTCGAATCATTTCTAAATAATAATAGTACAAAAACACAATGGGAAGAATAATTTTTTTCTTCCTTCCGTATGAACGAAGACAAAATTCATAGGTCAGTCGTGAAAAATATTGAAATATTTCTTTTCGAATCGCTAATATGACTTTAAACATTTTCTTCTATTAAATTCAATTGTAGACAATTTCAAATCCAAGAAAAATCTCAAAAGTAGAATATGTCCTATTAGAAATGAAAAAAAGTATATTATTTGAAGAAGAAAATGATGAAGTAAATGTTCAATCTCGATTCGTTCAATTTTTAAATAGACAGATTAGATTAATCAGTGTTATTAAATTAGAAATGAGATAATAATACACGAGGTAGTAAAGCTTAGATTTGAAAGTTTGTACATAAGGATTCGAGGGTATAGGATTATATTATGCGAGTCCAACATACACAGTGCTTCTATTAAATTATCTTTATAGAACTATGCACGATCTCCACGTGTGCATATTTCATCAAATATAGGCACCGTTTCCTCTTTCATCCTTCTTTCACTCAATGTCATCTTTGTTCTAATGGCGTCCACTTATATCCTAAATCTTAAAACGATTCGCTTATAATCTATTGTAAAATTACAATAAGTAATGAGAGAAGATCCCTATCGTGCATAATGGGTACAGCATTAATTGTCAATTTGGCAGTATGGCAAGTTTCCTGTTAGTCTGCGGAAATTTTCATGTCTCTTCTTCTTCTTCTTCTTCTTTTTCTTCTTCTTCTTCTTCTCCTTCTCCTTCTTCTTCTTCTTTGATAATCCATATCGAGAAGCATTTTTGTCTAATTCCTTTTTCTTACAATCAATTTCCATCGATAAGTACTCGTGAATGTGTGCCACGTTATCATCAACCATTTTTAAGTCATAAAAGTCCACAGAGAGAACTGTCCATTCTAATTATTAGTCTTTTTCTTTTTCTGTTTCTTTTTCCTCTTCATTTTCTTCTTCGTTTTCTCCTTTTTTTTTTTCCTTATTTTCCTTTTTAATATTTTCCTTTTCTCTTTGTCCTTTTCCTTTTCTCTTTATTATTATTATTATTATTATTTTTATTATTTTTTTTTTCTTTTTTCTTTCCGTAGAAATATACGAGAGAGAGAGAGAGACATTATTTATGTCACAACTTTTAATTTCTTCTCTGCAGCTGTTGTTAGTCAACGATGGAAGCACTTTTCTTCGATAAACAAGATTCAAGTTTTCGTGTTATTTTGTCCTTTCACTTTACAAGAGATTCGTAAAGTGCAATATCGTTATTATTATCATTATTATTATTATTATTAATATTATTATTAATATTAATATTATTATTATTATTATTAATATTATTATTATTATTATTATTATTATTATTATTATTATTATTATTATAATTATTATTATTATTATAATTGTTATTATTATTACAATGCTCTTTTCTATTTAGATAAAAGAGACAGAGAAAGAAAGAGATAGAGAGATAGCAATAGAGATAGATAGATAGATAGATAGATAGATAGATAGATAGAGAGAGAGAAAGAGATAGAGATAGAGAGACAGAGAGAGAGAGAGAGAGAGAGAGATAGAGATGCTTGTAATTTAATTATTATTTCTTTCTTTCTTTCCCCCATGTTTTTCTTTTTTTTCTTTTCTTTTTTTTTGTTTTTTTTTTCTTTCATCTTAAACGTTAGAAGACTACCTAAGCTTCGATAAAGAAATTCTCAAAAGATTTCAAAAATGTAGCTGCAAAGAATGTTTCATAAGTGAGGTGTGTAATAAATACTCTCACATATATCAAGATATGTTCCAATTCGGAGAATCGGGATCGTCTTCGAATTTTGATTTTGATGTATACGTCAACGTATGTATGTGTCTGTATGTGCGTGCGCGTTAGTATCTTTATGTATATTTTTATGTATGTATGTATTTATGTTTTTATGTACGCATTTATGTCCTTATTGCGAGCATGTGTTCCTCGCAAAATTATTTTAAGGTAGAACGACATAAGTCAGTTATGTACTTCCTTCTCCTCCCTCCCCTCCCCCTTTTTGCCATTCGAGAACGATATGGTGGTGATCATGTTTTAACAAATCCCTCATTCTTTTTATAGCTTTTATTTTTCTTTCTTTCTTTCTTTCTTTCTTTCTTTCTCTTTCTTTCTTTCTTCCTTTCTTTCTTTCTTTCTTTCTTTCTTTCTTTCTTTCTTTCTTTTTCTGTTCCTTTTGTTGTTGTTTTTTGAGATTTTGTATAAAGTAAAAAAAGTGTGCCTCGAGAGAATATGGTCGGTCGCATCATCAACGAGGAGATTCACGTACACTTAAGCGGCAGTTTTTATTTCTTTTTTTTTTTCTTTTTTTTTCCTTTTTTTCTTTTTTCTTTTTTTTTCTGCTTTAGCTCGCTGCTAGCTATAGCTACAATTGCGAGTCGAGCTTTTTTTTTTACCTTTGAGCTCTAAAATCTATTTATTTAGACGACAACTTCTTCTTCTTCTTCTTCTTCTTCTTTTTTTTTTCTTCATCATTTTCCTCTCCTTCTCATCTCACTTTTCATCCTTCTAGTTTTGCTTCTTACATTTCAGGATAAAAGTTGTTTGAATGCTTTTCTATATTTATATATTTAAATTACCGTCAAGAATGAAAATTTCCTTGCGCGATTATGTGTGCTGCAACACCATTCGACTATTGCACTTCTTCATCGTCTACCATTATTATTTTTCTTTTTATTTATTTATTTATTTATTTGTTTACTTATTTATTTATTTATTTATTTATTTATTTTATTTATTTACTTGTTTACTTATTTATTTATTTTTTTTGCCGTTTTCCTCTTTTTTTTTTTTTTTAAACCGTCTGTGATACATCAGCGATTACAATCGCTTTAGCGACTACAATAAATTGTCCTTGGAAGGTACGAGTAAAATGTTACGCATGAAAACTACGCTTTACTCATTTTCCTGCACACTTAACACGATATACTCCATTGTACTAAACACGTCGTACTTTAGCCCTTTCTCCGATATCCCTTTCATTTTTTTGCCGTTCCCTTCGATCTCTCGTAGCATCTCTTTGCTCCCGATTATCGGCTTGTCAGTTGGCGTAATGATCGAACGATCCCAAATATTCCAAACTGGCACGATAACAGAACTGATATTGATCCTGAAAATGAGAAAATAAAATAATAATAATAATAATAATAATAATAATAAAAAGGGGGAGAAAACAAAAAAAAGAAAAGGATAAATAAATGATTAATTGAGTTGAAAATGATAAAATTACGATATGGAACGAATACGATTGTATCAACTTACTTCCGTTTGTACCATGGCAGGACGTTGCGTACGCAATATTCTCACTGTTTGGAATATATCGACAACACCTTCGTATTGCATACGTTCAAGGACGATACTAAGCGTTATGAAGACACCCGTTCTACCTACGCCGGCGCTACAATGTACAGTGATTGGTCCATCCTGACCAAATTGTTCCTTGGTTTTATGAACTTGACCGATGAAATCGATAAAACCATCACCTGACTTAGGTACACCTTGTTCCGGCCAATCGATGAATTGAAATTGTCTAACTGTACGGCTTGCTCCGTCTCGTGCGTCGGTGACCTTGAATTCACGTAAAATGTATTGCGGCATGTTGTATTCAGCAATGGGATCTACTACGAAGCACTGATAACGAATAGATCTGTCGGATGGCCAATACTGATGGCACTTTTCTCTACCCATTTCTTTCAGCTTAGTCAACATTACGACGATCGTCGAATTATGCTCCCATAACATACGCCAAAAGTCATCAGTGGTGTCGCAAAGAGGACCCTGGGTTGCAATGTATGCACCGCGATATCTGTACCCATCGATTAAACTAGCGTTTATATAATCGGAACCTTCGATGTTACGTTGTGGTTGTAAACAAACTCTGCTACATTCGTAGGGTAAGATATGAACCAATCGATTTTTATGCTTGTTGCATGGTAAATTAGCCGATATGAATCTCGTTGAGTCAGCTTTGATGTTAGACAATTTCTTAAATTCCAATTCCATCCCGGTAATATTGTCGATTTCAGGTTGCATGAGCTTTTGAATGTGAGAATGTAGATTTCTAGCTGGTACCTCGGTGTTACCGCATATCACCGCTTCGAGTAGGGCGTCATGAATAAATATGTACTGATCTTCAGTCTGTACCATGTAATTTCTCTGAGCTCGCAGACACGTCACGTGTCCATATATGTCGATCATTTTTTCATGCTTTATACGTTCGAGCATAGAATCTATGACGATGAAACAACCGGTTCTGCCAACGCCAGCGCTACAATGTACCACCAATGGGCCGCTGTCCGGTACGTTTAATGACCTAACTCTTCGCAAAAATTGTAAAAATGGTGCTGGGTGTTCCGGAACACCGTGATCAGGCCATGCAGTGAATTGCAATTGCTTTATCTCGCGTCTCTCCGAATAACCGGCTCTACAAACCTGGAAAGTACGGATACAATAGGTAGCAAGCTCTTGGATATCGGTAATGGTGACCGTCATCTGGCCATAAGTTTCTGAACCTCTTGTTGGCCAATACTGATCGCATTTTATTCTAGTCCTTTCCTCGAGTTTCGTCATCATAACGATCGTACTAGTACGAAGTTCCCAACACATTCGCCAAAAATCACCGAAGGTCTCTTGAAGTGGTCCTTGAGTTGCCACGTATGCGTTCTGCTTTCTATAACCATCGCAATAGTTCGCGTTTATATAGTCGGACCCTGGCATCCCATCGACCGTTTGAAGGATCACTCGAGAATGATCGTAGGCGATCACGTTGGCATAGCGATTCTTTGACGCGTTCACTTCCATATTCGAGTGGTCCCAAGTGAACTGCTGACCGGGTTCGATCGACTCGTATTCTTGACTGAACTTTAAATTGTCGCTTGCTTTCAATCGTTCGATATGATTTCCCAATTCGCTTATGGGTATCGGTGGGTGTGATATCATGCCGGGTGTTTGGAAATTCAAACGTCTCATCTCGACTGGATCGGACGGTGCATGATTCGAACTAATGTCTGCTGCCATAAGCGGTCGAGTTACTGCGGCCTGATCTGGTGCCTTGCATGGTTGCCTTCGTCTGAAACAGTAATGATGGCGTGGACTTTTTGGGAATGTTTTTTTCTTTTTTTTTTTTTTTATTCGTAACGTTAAGGAACAAACGGAACTATTTGTAACGTGCAAAGATAGAACAAGAGAGACTTACTTTTTTATTACGAATAATAGAATCAGAAAGATGCTGACCATAAGTGCTGCTATTATAGGTCCGATTACCCAAACCATACCGGGCTCCTGTCCGCTGGTTTTAACGGACACTTCAGGATTTCCATCGACTGGAGTATTTGGGTTTGGCCGCCGCGGTGGTTCGCCTGGTGGAACTTCTCTCATGTCCAATGAAAGATACTCGGAGAAAGGCGAAGAAGTGTAGAGATGCTGAAAAGTAAATTGTTTGGATTTGATCGTCTGCTATTATTGGATAAGATTATGTTTCTTATCCAAATCGAATCAGAGTTTACTACTGACCTTTCTAGGAGTATCGACCACAGCACGTACAAAAATTCTATATCTCTTATTTCTCTCCAACTTTCTGTTTTCATATCCCTCATATATATCGCCACTTCCCAAGTGGAAAGTATAAGGAATGTCTCTATGGGGGAACTTAGCAGCGATATACGGTGCGTTTTCTCGTTCCTGTTTGGCACCCTTCCCGGTAATCATATCTTCGGTAAGTTCATCGGGCTGTTTGTCAGCCGTAGATTTATCTTCAGGTACGACGATCAAATAATAATGAGAAATTGGTCCATACTCTTCGGACGCCTGAGGTAGGATCACTTGAATCTCTTCGCCATTGACGACGCCATAAAAGTCTGGCTTTACCATAGGCTTCGGTGCTGCCATTTGTGTGGTTACGGTAATTTTAGCAGGTGGCCTGTATTGTCCATCGCGTGGTACGGCACTGACGTTAACGTTGTACGTAGTAAATGGTTGTAGTTCGTTAATGGTTGTACTAGTGACACTAGGATCAAATAAGATTTGCCGACGTGGTACGATTTGAGTTTGCGTTATACCTTGAGAATCGACGAACTCTTTAACCGCGTCGAAGGACACCTTGTAATTGGTTGGATTCAGTCTTATAGGTGGTGTCCATGATAACGTCATAGAGTGTGTTGACGATTCCGGTGCTCTGAGATTCAAAGGCACATCTTCCGGTTTGACAGTTACTGTGATCTTTTGACTGATCCTACCGAGACCAGTTTTATATCTTGCGGCAACGGTTATCGCATATTGAGTGAATTTCTCGAGATTAACCAGGTCGGTTGATTCAGTCAATCCAACTGTCTTTTGCTTCCACTCGTCAAGATCCTCGACCGGTGTCGTAGTATAAAAAACTTGATAACCAACGATCTTGCCGCGATTAGGTACTGGTTCCCACCAAACTTCGACGCTCGATTCGGAAGTTGCAACGGCCTTGACGAACATCGGTGCTCTACCGATATCTTTTTCCGTTATTATCGTTATCTTTTCGGAATATGGACCGCTACCTCTCATTGTTCTAGCTCTAACATGAAAAACGTATTCTGTGTCCTCTTCCAAATTTGAAAATACCTCTCGCGTTTTCGTCGTGTTCCTTTCTATAATCGACGAATGATCGTTCTTTTTATTGAACTGAACATCGTAACCAATGATCTGGCCGTTCCTATGTTGTCTCAAAGGTTTGTCCCAAGTGACGCAGAGGGTGTCAGGCGTTTGGAAGAAGTAAGACAAATTGGTTGGTGATCCGCTAGGTTCTCCCTCGGGACTTGACCAATATTGTACAGTTTCTTGACCGTATCCTATACTGTTCTGACCGGCAACTCTAAACTCGTATTCGACGCCGCGTTCTTCTTCAAACGAAAATTATTTACAATCAATCCCAATATTCCTTTATGTGTATATATATATATACATAGATCAATGTGAAATAAATAAATGTCAATGTAAATGAGGATAATATGATCTTACCGAGATCGTTGATTTTGTAAGTATGCTGACGAGTCCCACGAATGAATTCTTTTTTAAGCGTTTGATTTTTAATACCATAACGAATTCTAAAACCCAATAAATCGCCATATGTTTGGGTTGGTTCCATCCATTCTAATTCAAGTACGACGGGATCTCTGCTGAGGACTCTAAAATGATTAAAATAAAAACATATATATGTATATATATATATATAAAAAAGTAAAAGCTTCGTCGTTTTATTCGTTCTGTTTTTTGTTTGGTTTTGATTTTTTCTTTTTCTTCTTTTTTTTATTTATTTTTTTTTGAAACGAAAAGACGACAAAAGATTTCTTACTTTATGTTAACTTGAGGTCTATTTGGTACCCCGCCTGGTGTTCTAACGTGAACCGGTGCCGATCGATCACCGTCACCTTTTCTCGTCAACGCGGCTATCTGTACGGAGTACCTTGTATCCGGTTGTAGTCCTGTGATATTTATTTCACGTACACCGTCCTCTTGGACGTCGCGACGTATAGGTTCGTTAAACACGTCGTCTCTTCCCTGATTGAAAATTTCCAAATGTTCGATTAATCAAATCTTAAGTTATCATCTTTATATTTTATCCGATCTATCTTCGAGCTTACTCTCTTTCTCTATTTTTTTCCCTTTTTTTCCTTTCGCTTGTTTTTTTTTTCTTTTGCTTATATCAACTTATAAATATACACAATTTTTTTTTTATACACATATGTATGTGTATATATATATATATATATATATATATATATATATTATTAATTTGTATATTTGTTAAGTTGATATAAAAGATCTTTCTATTTTTTTTTTTTTTTTTTTTTTTTTGTCAAGTTAAACGTTGTTGCTTCAGGGGAATTTATTTCGGTGATGATTTAATGAAGAAAGAAAGAAAGAAAGAAAAAAAAAATGAATGATAAGAAACGTACTTCTTCTCGTACTTCTTGTACGTGTATGTGGTAACCCCTAATAACCCCATTTTGGTCCTTCGCCTTGGGCGCATCCCATTCGACGTGTATCGCCGTCGAATTGATCGACGTTACTTTGACGTTTTGAGGATCTCCTGGCACTGTAACCCAAGCTACAATTAAATGGTGCACTTTATCGCTAGCATGCATCACACTTACAATCTCGCTCATTCTCGCCATACCATACGCTTTCATACACGAGAGGGAGACAAATGGTGGAGGGGTAGGGGTGGGGGAGGGAGAGATTGCATGGATGGGAGAACTCAGTAGTTAACAATAATAATAATTTAAAAAAAAAAAAAAAAAAAAAGAACAAAATCGATACGATCATACGCGTACGCATTAAATGTAAAATGAAAAATATTATTGTCAATAGATACCTGAAATAACATTAACGATTAAACAAAAAAAAAAAAAACGAAATTAGGATAATTCCTTTTCTCTGCTGTCCTGAAAAATAAAGAAAAGGAAAGAAAAAAAAAAAAAATTAATCTGTTTCGTCAAAAAGTATTCGTCCTCCTTCTTTCTTTTTTTTTTTTGTTTTCTTTTTTTTTTCGTTTTTGTTTCTTTTCGTTCGTTCGTACGTTTTTTCTGTCGCTTTCTTCTCTGTCACGAAAAAGAAATGAGAGAATAAGAAAAAAGAAAAAAAAAAGAGAAAGATATAGGAAGAGATGAAGAATAAAAATAAAAAAAGAAAAAAAAAAGGAAAAATAATAAATAAATAAATAAAAAAGAAAAAGAAAGTAAAATTGATATAGGATGATACTGACATGCCGGCATCACAATCACTCACGGACAAAACGACGTACAAACAATATTACGAGGCACGCCGCACCCCCATGCTCTAATAACGATATAAACCCCTCAAACCGGTAATGCTCCATTTGAATACCAATAATGTGTGTTTTTTAAGATATATATATATATGGATACATATATATATAGTATATATATATATTATATTATATAATATTATATGTCCCTATTTTCCTCCCGCGTTTCATTTAACGTTACTTTTTTCGTCGTGTTTTTTTTTTTTTTTTTTTTTTTTAATTTCTTTCTTTATTTCTTTATTTATCTATTTATTCTTTTTTCTCTCCTTTAATCTCATTTTCTCGTCTTTCTACGCGAAAAGAAAAAAAACTTGTCGTTCGATTTTTTTTTTCCAACGAATTTACAAAAATATTTATTGTCTATGTTGCTCGTAGATAAACATACATAATTAATGATCCCTCTTAAGCGCGAATAATGCGAATCGCCAAAGACGTTCATAATGATAACGAAGATTGCATACTACAGTCGAGTATAACGAAACGTTCAAGATCATATAAGAAAGGATAACAACGATTTTTTCTTTATTTTTTCTCCTTCTTTTTCTTTTTCTTTTTTTCTTTTTTTTTTTAATTTTTATTACTATCGATCTTTTGAAATTAAAATAAATAAATAAACATTTGTCGATCATACGGCAATTCCGTGTACAAGTAGATTATTATACTTGAACGATTCGCTATTCGGCAATTATTACTATTATTATTATTATTATTATTATTAATATTATTATTATTATTATTATTATTATTATTATTATTATTATTATTATTATTATTATTATTATTATTATCATTATTATAAGTTTTACGTTTTTTTCGTATAAATAAAATAAATACGATAACATGGAACATAACGAAGATATATATATATATATAAAAAAAAAAAAAAGAAGAAGAAAAGAAAAAAAAAGAAAAAAAAGTATCTCAACAGTGGCTAATTATTAATATAAATATCGTTTAAACTCGTTACACAAAATTACACGTGGTTAGCTCTAAATACATATGCGAACATCGACGTGGATCTTGTTCGATCGATCGATCGATCGATCAATAAACATAATCGAAAAAAACATTGGTACGAGACACGTGTGGATTTATTTATATATATATATTTATTTTTTTTTTGTTCTATTTAGAGCGAAAAAAAAGTTTTATAGGCAAAAGCGCTTTGCGTGCACAATTGGATATATCTGATGTGTACGATTGTATATATATATATATATTTTTATACATATATATATACATATATATTAAAAAAAAAAAATTAAGATCATATATATATATATATTATGTATATATACATATATATAAATATATTTTTTTTTCATTTTGTTTTGGCCACTATCTTCAATTTACAATGACGTTGTAAAACCGTTTAAAAATTGATAACCGTTCATGATTCTACGTGATGTGACAACGTGCAAACAGGTTACTGTCGATATCGTTTTACAAAGTGTCTTCTATCAAAGATCATCTCTGGCACCGATCGCGAAACGTATCTCTCAAACAACGTATCGAACACGCCATAACTTTCATTCTCTCTCTCACTCTTTCTCTCTCTTTCACTCTTTCTCTCTCTCTCTCTCACTCTTTCTCTGTCTCTCTCTCTCTCACTCTCTCTCTCTTTCTCTCTCTCTCTCTCTCTCTCTCTCTCTCTCACTCTCTCTTTCTCTCTTTCTGTGTGTATTTCATTGATCGACGTTTAGAATGTTTCACGTCAGATACATTGTGCACGCGCGACGCAAGGCTATGCGCTTGGATGCTGCTGTTGCTGCTGCAAAAAAAAGGAAAAAAAAAAAAAAAAGAAAAAAAAAAAGAAAAAAAAGAAACAAAATAGAGAAAAAAAAAGAAAATAAAGAGAAAAGGAAACAACAACGATCAAACCAAAAGTGGCATCTCAAAAATGCTCTCTGACGGTACCATGAAAAAATAACGAGAGACGAAAGAAAACGTAACAAAATAACAAGTAATAATGCGTATATATATACATATACATATATATATATATATATATATATATATATATATATATATATATATAAACGGTAAAACTGTAAAAAGAAATAAAAATGCTTACAAAAAATGAAAGAAGCGAAAGAAAGCGAAGAGTATAGAAAAAAAAAAAAGAAAAATGTTCATAGAGAGACTTGTAAAGTTGTATGAAGAAATAATAATAATAATTATAATAATAATAATAATAATAATAATAATAATAATAATAATAATAATAATAATAATAATAAAGTAAACAGAAAAAAAAAGATCATTATTATTAATTATTATGGCACAACTCGAGACGAGCTAAGGGATACTCACTTTTGTCATCTGCGCCCCAAAAGTCGCCAAAAAAGTGGGAAAAAAACTCGTAAAAATTCGTGTCAACTTCGCACGTATATAAAATTTCAATATAAGAATAAATTACAAAAATACTTTTTTTTTTGGATTATTTCTTTGTTTTTTTATCTTTTTTTTTTTTTTTTTTTTAACTTTCTCATAGGCATATCAGAAATATTGGGTATATAATGCAAGTAATATACTCTACTAAATTATTTACTCATGAACAGTCAAAATATTTGGCCCTCTCTCTCTCTCTCTCTCTCTCTCTCTCTTTCTCTCTTTCTTTCTCTCTTTTTTCTCTATGTATATAAATATATATATATATATATATATATATATGTATATATATATATTTATATATTCTTGTTATATCTCGTTAGGGAGAGAGAAAAAAAATATTTTTGACAATGAACTGTCTCTCCCTCGAGAATTGCCCTTTGACCTTTTTCCCCTTTCTTTCATTCTCTTTCTCTCTCTTTCTCTCTCACATTCTCTCTCTCTCTTTCTCGCATACACACGCATCAACATACATGCACACATACAGACAGAAACATACGCTCATTCACACGTTCGAAATTATTATTAAACAGGCACTCATCAAAATCATATTGATTCTAATTTATATTCATACTTAATCGTTCGATCACATCGTTCATCCCATATCTCTATCTCTACGAATATATAACAATGTATATTATATATATCAATATTATATTATCATCATCAGAGTTCATATTTCTCGCACCATCGACGATCTTCGATGGTGCAAATTATTACTCGATTATCTATGAATTATTATTTCTTTTTTTTTTTTTTTTATTATCCTTAGAGAGATATCAGATTTTAATAAAAAAAAAAAAAAAAAAAAAAAAAAAAGAAAAAAAGAAAATATGTTATTATAGCACGTTACCAACCATTGGTAATAAATTAGCAGAGAGGCGGGAGACGTGAGAATAATATATCTTTCGTTTTTTACTTTCTCTTGCTTGCTTGCTTGCTTGCTTGCTTGCTTGCTTTCTTTCTTTCTCTTTCTCTTTCTCATTCTTTCAGTTTTCTCTTTTTCTATATATATATTTTTTCCTTCTTATTTTTACTTTTTTTTTTTTTTTTTTTTATCATTTTAAAATTATTTATTTTTATTATTGGCATGCGCAATCACTACTCCAAATATGAAATAACTATAGGCTCATGTACACCCGTTTCCATTTCGCGAAGGAAGCAACATTTATTACTCGTAAAAAAATATTTTATAAGAAAAAGTAATAGATCTCTGTTATCTTTTTATTTCTATTTTTAGTTTTATTTTTATTTCCAATTTTTTTCTCCTTCTTTTTCGTTTCAATATCAGTATTTTTACTTTATATTATTTTCCTTTTCTTCTTCTTCTTCCTCTTATTATTATTATTATTATTTTTTTCTTTCTCTTAGAGTTTTCTCTGTCAAAGATGAAAAGGATCGATATGGATAGATCGATCGAGATCAAGGAATAACGCGTTACTTCCTTCCTCGAAAGGGGGTGTCAGAAAAAGGGAAAGACCTATGATAAAGAATGTCTACGAAAAGAAAGCTATATAGGAGAGATAGGAGAAACCATAAGTATATATAAGAAGAAGAATATAAAAAGAAGGGAATATTTATGGTTCTTTGGATGTTTGTTGTTGTTTTTGTTGACAATGATAATGACAATGACAATGACGATGTTTGATTGATTGATTGATTGATGATCATGATGATGATAATAATGATGAATATAATGAAGGATGATGATGACGATGATGATGATAATGACGAAGTTATTGTCGTACACGTTTTGATAAAACGCCGAGGGGAAAAAAATATCATCTTCTCCCTTCGTACAACCTCGTATCATATTTAACAAGAACCCCGGACGAACGAACGAACGTAGTACTAACACGTACGTACATACGTACGTA